AAACTAGCAGGTGATCATCGGCGGGAATCGCGGCCGCGGCGACGGTGGATCGTGATTCCGTGCCCACCTGAAAACAATAAACGGCCTGGAGGCTGCTGCTCCTGGGACAAGAAGGAAGAAACTTAGACCGGGGCTCGAGTGAAAGTATACACAACAACAAATCATCCCATTTTGTCTGCGGGGGTTTTGCAAGATCGCAAAGTGATCTTTTCCACGGAGGTTCTGTAACTTCAAGTCGCGATAATTAGCGGCTGCGGCTTCTAAAGTGATTATACAAATGAACGGGGAAACTGAGAATCCATTAGTCTCCTGCGGGAAAGAATCGTGAGAAGAATGTATGTTATACTCGGGAAATCTTTCTCTTATCGATGTTACGTAAACTATCTCTGAAGGAACGGAAGACCACATATCGGAACATAAATTCTAGCCCGTCATGATTTGCAATGCGCTTCTGGCTTGGCTGGTTGCGAGTGCCGAGAACGCTCGCCTGACCGACGATTAGTCTGGCGTGATACTGATGAATTACGAATTCCGGCATGTTATCTTCCTTTTACAAATAACCTTGTAAAGCTTATATTTTTATGAGAAAATCATAAAATTAATTTTGAACTTTAGTGCTATTCACAGAAGAATTATGAATTTCTTTGATGTATACTTTTTAAGAAAAAATAAATGGAATGTCTTTATAAATTTCTAATTGATATACTGTGTCTCCTTCAGTCGAATTTTCTCAAAAATGTTAATGTTTTTTAAGGACGTATATAAATCTATTTTTAAAATCTTACAGCTTTTCCTATAGAAAGGTTTATTATAATTCATAATTTCATCATTTCTTGCCTCAAAATATGACACTGCTTCAGTGCCGTATTAATGGCTTTTCTGTAAAAATTAATTCAAATAAAAGCATTTCTTCATGATAACCTTTCAGATAGATTTTTTCCTCAGAAACAATAATTAAAATATATTCGTGAAAAAGTTTTAAAGATGTATTAGTCCTATCGCTCATGAATAGTTTGCTTAGCTCTTATGTCTACTTATTCAATCAAAATACTTAACGTTAAATCTTAATTCTGCCTTTGTTCGAGTTAGTTCTGGGGAAAAGAAAAAGTCATCCATCAATCAATAATTTTTTACAATTAGCGCATACCGCGAAGATAGCCGTAGTCATTGTTATGTAACAGCGGAATTACACAGACATCCACTGAGTGTCGGTGCGCATCTGTCTTTATCAAGTGAAGAGTGTAGGCCAACGATCGGAATCCGGTAGTTTCGTTCACCATTACGCGTAACAATCCGAACATCTTTGATTGATTTCCTTGCTCGGAGCTAATGAGCATCGCGCCCGGTTTAAACCGACGCGACTGAGAAATTGGAAGATAACGAAACGAGCTGGCAATTCAACGGTCCGATTACGTAATTTTTGAATTACGCGACATCGACGTCTCGAGATCCTACGCTCTTTGTCATTGTGATATCATGAAGGCGAGACAGCGTACCGTTATATATAGGGTGCTCCTGTATATTACATGCGTTTTTGTTGAAAGGATATTTTTATTTGAGAGACTTGTAATGGAATTTTGTCGCAGCTGTTTTCGTATTATTTTACTTTTCATTTTTTTTAAATCATTAACATGGAATATCTTATAAAAGGGACATGTAAAATTTGATGCCGTGCTTTAGTAATAATTTATTAACATAAGAAGACATGTGTTTATATGAAAAGTCACAATATATTAATAAAACTTGAGCAAACATCAACGTTCGTGACCACCAATGCGTAACGCGCGTGCAACTGGGCCCACACGCATCTTTCACGGTTTTACAAATTGCCTCGTCAGATTAGAGAAGACCTTTTAACATGTTAAACGAATATCGTATTCGGAAACACCCTGTACATAACGACGCACGGTTCGGTAGTTGATTAGATTTAAAAGAATGCCCCGTCACCTGCACTGTTGAAAGGAGACTAGGCTCCGGGAGCGATGGCAGTGGGGAGACTCGTGGAGATGAAGAGGAGGGATGGAGAACAGGCGGGAAGAGAGGAGAGTAAAAGGAAAGGAGGTGCCGGAGCAGTGCCTGATCGTCAGCAACGAGAGGCCCGGGCATAAGGCCTCAGCGATCACTGACCGCTTTCGCCGATCCGAGCCGCCAACTAGCCACCTTTCAGCGGCGCAGCCATTGGGGCATCCTCCTGTTTAAGATCCATTCACATTGCGTCGCTAATCAAACCTGACAAAAAAGAATCGTTCCGTGGTGCTTATGGTCCCTCTAAAGTCATGGAAATTGCCTTTATCGGCATGAAACCGGCTACCGCCGAGATTAAAGAAGTGGGATTTATGTAATTGTCGATAACGGAATGCCCAAGTCGTCAGGATTAAAAATCTTAACGTTTAATCTTCGTAGGGGCTATCAAGATATTGGACTAAGTTCGATTCGCGGAATTAATGTCGTTAACGATAATTAGAGATACGCTCGCTTCATAAATTTTCATGCGTAACAAAATTACTCGTAAATTAACTGCGATTAGTATAATCTCACCCTGGGAGGAGGAGGATTAAATCAAGTTTGCGCGCAGAGCAGTAAGGTGTTTGATACGTCTGTATAGTTCATTGAAGCGGTTACAGTAATTGGCTTGACGGGAATGTATGTAATATCGGCCAAAAATTGCGTCTCGACGAAAGCCGACGAAAATAATCTCTGGGAATGAATCGGAAGAACTCGAGATATTTGTGTAATGAGAAAGAATGGCGCGAACTCACTCGAGGTAATCGAGATAGTTAGCAGGTTGCAGTTTCGTTTTACAGCACGTGATACATGGTTAATCCGCAAAACATCGGACACCCGGGGAATAATATTACGAGCGCTTATAGATGGCTAAAATGCAGTCCACCGTTGCAATTATCAAGGCGAGAGGAAACTGGCGAAAGAGTGAAATATAATATCGACACAAGCCTCGCGGCCTTGGTAAAGATCTTGTAATAACGATCAATGAATACGGATAAAACGTATACGCTTAATTATGAAATCGGAGGTTTATCTATATCGTCGGTAATAATAATGGCGAAGGTGAGATTTCGAGTATTTTACAACTCTTCTCGAGTAAATCATTACGTGTATTTTCATTAAGAATTAGAATAAAATACATCTATATTAAAATCAAGGAAATTAAGAAAAGACACAAATGATGTAACTTATATATCCTGGAATGATCGATTGTAATGATGCTGATGTTGTATCTATTGGTCATTTAAAATTCGAAGGAATAAAGTTCGTTAAATCGCTTATTTAAACGATGATGTCTGAAAGATCTTCTACCAATGAGGAACCTTACTTCGAGCAGGTAAAAGTAACAAATCACTTTTCAACGATGGTAGATCAAACTGCTAAATACTGCTTTCTGAAAGGTGGAGTTCCGTATAAAACACCACTTGTGATACGACATTATACACTATTTCGGACACAATAAATATCGTTTTATGATCACTGGAATAAAGCATGTGAATTTTGAATATTAAAATATTACAAGAAATTGTGAATATTGAATAATATTGAAATATTATAAGAAATTAATTCGAGTTTTGAGAGATAGATACATAAGATGTTATTTTAGATTCGCTTTTGTAAATTAGAATCGTTTTTTTAAGAATATTTTGGCTGTACAATATCAACTAAAAGTATCAATAAAAAATCAATCAAAAAAAGACAAGATCAATCAATTAAAAAATTTTGTCGTATGTTAACATTCGTAATGTTACCTTATCAAATTTGCAAATAACTACTACAAGAAATGATTTTACGTAAGAATTAAGAGTAACAAAAAAATTAAATAACTTTTAAGGCGATAAGAGAATTATATTCTAATTTTATATAGATATTCAGACATAATAATCTATGAAATTTTTATATTTTTAATAATTCTTTGAGTTATAATACATGTATCCTTACTGATTCTTTTTTTATATAATTATAAAATGTCATTTCCTTTTTTATGTTTTATTATGACAGAACAAAATTTTCAGAAATAAAGATTTGGTTCAAAAGAGTCTAAGTAAAAATAGATTTCTCCAAGAAACACAAACAAGTATGCAGAAAAATTGAAAAATAAAATAAAATCGACAATAATTGAATACATAACGTAGTAATAAATATTAATTTGCATAAAATATAGAACTGACATATGTTTGTATTAGAAGCGGATGATCAGGAGCGCGGAAGAACACAACGAAAATCTACAAAAAGTATTTGTAAAGTATAGGACAATCGGAATATAAACGTAAATAGGATTCGCATAAAGATATTGAACAAACATCCTTTTTCAAAATCCTATTTTACGTGACGGAATCGTAGAAACGATGTGTGAACAGATGATGGCGCGGCGAGGATTTTGCGAACGGATCAAACAGCAATATGACGAAAGAATCGAGAGGAAGAGAAGAAGAAATGGAGGAAGATCGACAGAAGGGAAAAAGGGTAAAGAGAAAGAAAGAGAAAGAATGATGAGGAGAATACGAGATGCGAGGAGTGTGCTGTGCACGAAGAAAACGAGAAAGAGAGAGAAAGAAAGAGCAGAAGGACGCGCGATGGAAAAAACGAAAAGGGGAGACAAGGAAATAAGAACGTAGTGGATGGAGGAGGCTGCAGATGTGGAGAAGCCACTGTAAGGACCCGGAGAGTGTACCTGTCTTGTTTTTATAGGATTGCCAGAACGTCAGGACCCGGGTACGCGGATGACGACGACGACGGCGAGGATAAGGACGAGGATGACGACGAGGAGAAGGACGACGACGACGGCGACGACGACGACGAGGAGAAGGCGAAGAACAAGGTGGGAGAAGGAAGGACGACCGCGGAGTGGTGAGCGGTGGAAGGTAGCAGCCGGGGGATCGGCAACGGCAGAGGGGGAGAGGGTAACGGAGTCCGCCAGGGCCTTACAATCCTCCGCTAACCAGTCCTGGTAGAACTGTGGGCCCTACCGGAGTCCTGCACGGGCGCGTCGTACCTGTAACGGTGACTTTTCGTTGTCCACGAGATTTTTCTCACCGTCGGAGAGGCGATAATCTCAGGGTCGCTGAACCTGCTCCTCTCTCCTTCTTCTCTTTCGCGAACGCGTTTATTTCGTCCCGTTAGCGCGCGCGCGCGTCGTTCGAACAATTCGCTCTCTTTCTTTACGAGACGAATTGCCGAGGATGAGACCGCCAGGATCGTAAAGTGCAAAGAGCAAGGTGCAAAAGGTCGATCGTCGACCGAGGCAAAGGAAAGGCAAGAGAGAGAAAGAGAGAGTGATATGGATGACGTGATGAGGTGAAATTGCCGCGACCCGGTGGTGGTTTAGATGGATCGACGCCGGTTTCACGAGACGCACGAGTGGCGTTAGTTGGCAATAGAGATAGGTACCCCTAGGGGAGGGGGGCACGGGGGGGGACCACTCCACATTGATGGAATAGTGATTAAAACGCGGCGGAAAGATGCGGGGTAGTCCTGCCTTCCTCGCCATACTGCTGGGCACGATATTCGGTGTCTTAGGTGCGTCTCTGAGCAAGGCGCTCAGATACAAGGCACCGGACGAATGCAAGTGGATCACGACTGGCGATGCTGAGGACGACGTGTCGCTCGTGTGTCGTCTACGAACCATCAATAGCGAGTTGGAGAACACAAACTTCAGCGTGATACAGCCGCAGCATACGGTGCGCTTGCGGTTGGAATGCAGCGACGCGCTATTCTACCAGAGTTCTCTGAGCGCCGGGAGCTTCAGGCCACTGGTCGAGCTGCGTGAGCTCGTGATCGAGTATTGTAAGATCGGCAATCTGTCGGATGACGCGTTTAAAGGTCTCAGGGAACTGCGCAATCTCACCGTGAGGACGCACAACACCGACTGGTCGGCAATGGCGCTCGACATATCTGCCGGGGCATTCACCGACGAGCTTCGGCAATTGGAGAAGCTCGATCTCGGTGAAAACAACATGTGGGGTATACCGGAGGGCGCGCTCTGTCCCCTGGTCAATCTAGAGGTTCTAAACTTGACAAGGAACCGGCTCAGGGACATCACGGGTTTCCGCTTCAACGCTGCGACGAGATGCCTGACGAATCTCAGGGAACTGGATCTCAGCAATAACAGCGTCGAGTCTTTGCCGAGCGCAGCGTTTTCCGGTCTGACAAGGTTGCACAGCCTGGACCTGCGATGCAACGCCATCAGTTTCATGGCGGATCGCGCATTCGAAGGCCTCACGTCACTAGCCATCTTGAGACTCGCCGACAACCGGCTCGCGAGCCTGCCGCCGGAGCTTTTCAGCGACGCCAAGGATCACATACAGGAGATTCATCTCAGGAACAATACGTTGAGCGTTTTACCGCCCGGTTTATTTAGCGAATTGTCACGGCTGTTAGTATTGGATCTCTCGCACAATGAGTTAACAGCGGAATGGGTGAACGCGGCTACGTTTACTCGTCTGGTGCGTTTAGTGGTGTTGGATCTTTCGAGTAATCGTATCGCGCGTCTCGATCCAACCGTTTTTCGCGATCTGTACAGTCTACAAATACTACGGCTGCAAGAAAATCTACTTGAGAGTCTACCGGAAAACACGTTCTCGGCGCTCTACAACCTGCACACGTTGTTGCTCAGCGACAACCAATTGACTGTCATAGACGCCACTACATTGAGTGGTCTTTACGTGCTCAGTCTCCTCTCGTTGGACAATAACCGGTTGCACACGATACATCCGGGCTCTTTGAGAAACGCCTCGTCCCTACAGGACTTTCATCTTAACGGTAATCGGCTGACATCGGTGCCAGACGCATTGAAAGCCACTCCCCTCCTGCGCACTCTCGACCTCGGCGAGAACCTCATCTCCGAGATACCAAGCGGCACCTTCGACCACGTGGCGCAGCTGTATGGGCTTCGATTAACCGAAAATCATATCGGCAATCTTACGAAGGGCATCTTCGATCGTATCAAAGAGCTCAAGATCCTGAACCTTTCGCGAAACCGCATACAGTACATCGAACCCGGTACTTTCGACGAGAATCTGAATCTACAGGCGATACGTCTCGACGGTAATCAGCTGACCGACATTACCGGTCTCTTCACCAAACTGCCGAATCTCGTTTGGCTCAATGTGAGCGACAATAAGCTCAAGTGGTTCGACTACGCGATGATACCGACTGGGCTGCAGTGGCTGGACATACACTCGAACGAGATCAAGGAATTAGGCAACAATTTCGAGATCGAGACACAACTGCAACTGAGTACCTTCGACGCGAGCGAGAACAAGCTTACGGAGATCACTGGCAACGCGATTCCCATGAGTGTCGAGCTACTGTTCCTCAATGACAATCTCATCTCCAAAGTACAGAGCTACTCGTTCTTTAAGAAGCCAAATCTGACGCGAGTCGACCTGAAAGGCAACCAGATACGGAATCTCGAGCCATACGCGTTGCGCATCAGCGCAGTACCGTCGGATCAATCGCTACCGGAGTTCTACATCGGCGACAACCAGTACCTATGCGACTGCACCATGGAGTGGCTGCAGCGCGTCAATCGGCAGAATCAGACGCGCGTGCAGCCGCGCGTCATGGACCTCGAAAGCATCTACTGCAAGCTCTTATATGATCGTGAGCACGCCTTCGTGCCGTTGGTCGAGGCATCACACTCGCAATTCCTCTGCAAGTATGAGACCCACTGCTTCGCTCTATGCCATTGCTGTGACTTTGATGCGTGCGACTGCGAGATGACATGTCCGCAGAACTGTACGTGTTATCACGATCAGTCGTGGTCAGCGAATGTGGTAGATTGTTCCAACGGCGGACACATCAGTAAACTACCTGAACAGATACCGATGGATGCTACGCGTCTCTATTTGGACGGAAACGATCTACGCATAGTATCAAGTCACGCTTTCATCGGTCGTAAAAAGCTCAAGGTGTTGTTCCTCAATTCGTCCAACATCGAGATCGTGCAGAATAGGTCATTCAACGGGCTGCGCGACCTCGAGGATCTGCACCTGCAGGACAACAGGATACGCGAGCTGCGCGGTCACGAGTTCGAAGGGCTGGATGCATTACGGCAGCTGCATCTGCAACGCAATCGCATTGCCACGATCGGCAATGACACGTTCGCGCCGTTGCGTTCTCTGCGGATACTACGGTTGCAGAACAATCGTCTGACCACCCTGGTAATATGGTCGCTGCCGAGTTCGATCGAGATCAGCCTAGCTGGGAATCCCTGGTCCTGCGAGTGCGACTACCTGCAGAGTTATCGCGAGTGGTCGCGCGATCCGAGCATCCGCGTTACGGATGCGGCTGCGTTGCGCTGTGTGTACAACGTCACGGAGTTCGAGGCGTTCGGCGATGAAGTGTTCGCGGATGACGAGTTCGGTTTTCCGATGAGCACGACGCTAGGCGATTCCGAGCGCGCTGGCAATGAGAGCGCCGTTTGCACTGGCACGATTAGCCTCGACAACGATATACATCACAACTACACCAAGACCATTATCGAGAAGCAGGTCCTGCAGGATTATCTGCCGCTGTTGGTGGCCACTTCAGCCAGTTCGCTCGTCGTCATACTTCTGTGCATGCTCGCTTTCGTGTTTCGTCATGAACTGCGCGTGTGGTTTCACTCGCGTTTCGGTGTGCGGATATTCTATCGAAATCACGAAGTCGATCGAGATGATCGGGATAAACTGTTTGACGCTTTTGTAAGCTATAGCTCGAAGGACGAAGCGTTCGTTGCCGAAGAACTGGCGCCGGTGCTCGAAATGGGTAACCCTTCGTACAAACTGTGCCTTCACTATCGGGACTTTCCAGTCGGCAGCTTCATAGCCGACACCATCGTTCAGGCGGTGGAGTCATCGCGAAGAACGATAATGGTGCTGTCGGAAAACTTCATCAAATCCGAGTGGTGTCGCTTCGACTTCAAGTCGGCGCACCATCAAGTGCTGAGGGATAGAAGACGCCGATTGATTCTCGTGCTGGTTGGCGACGTGCACCAGCGTGATCTCGATCCAGACATACGACTGTACTTAAAAACGAACACATATCTGCAATGGGGCGACAAGCTCTTCTGGGAGAAGCTGCGATTCGCGTTGCCGGATGTGCCAAACAATCAGCGCGCGACACAGAGGACGAGGCAGCCGCCGCCGGTCCGACGGCAACACAACAACAGAACGTCCAACGGATCGCGTACCGTATCCGTCCACATATGAATCAGTTGTAGTCAAATCCAAGTGCGTCGAGTGTCGTTCGTGTTAAACGAGCTTTCAGCCGCGAGGATACAACAGGAGGAACACGAGTTTCACGTTGAGGATCTTGTATGCTCGAAGCGCGATTCCGAGGCGCGTATTCGGACGGTGTGCAATATGATATTATATTACAGAGTGTGTAAATACAAACGGAAGGGTTTTATATGTATAAATAGAGCATATATACCGAGGTGCGGGAATAAAGGTCTTGTGTATATAAACGGTGTGTGATAAGAGTGAGAAAATATTGAAGACGCGCTCTTTCCGCGTGGAAACGTATACTCGGTGTGCCACACGCAGATTCTGTAAATTTGTTGCAGCGCGTCTGGATGAGAGTGGTTAGCTGAAACTCGTTGTAAATAGGACGTCGTCCGCTCGGTCGCGAATCACGGCCGGACCGGCACCGTTATTCGGCTCGTGGAACGTGCGACGATTACGTTGGGTGCGTATACATATGTGAATGTGTGTGCCGTGATCGTGGAACGCAAGAGATGCTCCTGCAGCCCGTCGTGATTCTGGTAGCCCAATGTACCGGCCGTGTACTTAAAATTCACTGCTTCTCGTCATTATGTCCATTTGTGGTCATTGAAATCAGCCGTCATTTGTCGACTATAGTGCAAATAATTTCGCAATCAATTGGCAAACCGTGACGGATTTCTCGGGCGAATATTGCGTCGGCGTAATCATTTTAATTTCGATAGCTATCTCGCGCGTGTGTCTCCACGATCAACTCTTAGAATAAAATATCGCTTAACATCGAGTCAAGAGTGTCTTCGGACCCGTTTGAACCTCGACTCGACTGTTTAGATTGCTTGGCTCAAGCCGCTGCGCCAACAGTGATACCACTTCCTAATTATAATTATTATGTATATTTAATTGTATTTACACTTCTCCTCTCTCTGGTTGATGACGAATTTCATCCAGGAATACGAGCTTACGAGCGTCTCAGCGGTGGAAGCTGACGCTCCACGGTGATAATGAAAAATTCTGGGCGCGAACATTGTAAAGTATTACTTTAGTCTTATTTATTCCGTTCCATTCGATAAAGAGACTTTTTATGCGATTTGAATGCATCGTCATATAACGCGAGAATGAAAATAGAGATAACAGTATAACAACGAAGCTCGCTTGCCGTCGATTAATGATTAACTTAAGAAAACGTAATTTACGTGCCGCGTGGAATTTACGTTTGAATTCGACGGTCTCATTATTGCTGGACAATGTAACGACTCAATAAACGAGACTTTAATCTATAAATTTCTATTTTTATGTATCATCTCTCGTATACGGAACATAAATTGTAAACGTATATATTTTTATGAATACGTAACGGGGAGACAGTACATTGATATTCATTGCACAGATGGCTCAATCACATTTCAGTAATAACTTTAGCATTATGAAAACGCCGAGATGCAGTCAGCGCAAGATGAAACAAACTTTACGTGACGTATCTTATTCGAAATGCGACAGTCGAATTCAAAGTGCGCGTTATGTGCAAAGAAACTAAAGTGCTGCTACAAATATTCGAGATATAATGTATAAACATGAAATCGTCTTCTTTAGCTTTCCTCGCAAGCGATTATCATGTTTCGCAAACTGTCCGATACAAAAAGATATTATTCTAGAATAAAAGCTATGACTGAATAATAAAACATTCTATTTTTATGTTTTTAATTCTTCTGTCTCATTCTGATTTTTGCCTTCCCTAAGCAGATTATAATAATACCGAATTATAACTTCAATTGTACGTTCTACAGATCGCTGAAAAAGTTTTCGACTGTTAAACGTGTAAATGTTTTTAGAGACGGGCTAACTTTAACGTTCTTGCGATTCATTGCGATCTCAAACTGCACTTTTTGAGAACAAGGTATTACTTTCTTTAAGCGTACTTGTCGAGAGAAATGTCAAAGCATTAAAGCGAATTTACAAACGGTATGCGATGCACTTCCTCATTTTCAGTTAATGCAATAAAATGACAAAGCGGTATACGCGATATTCACGGCATGACAATTAAATCTACTATTTCGATGCAGGCTTTGTGCGCCATTTTCTGAGGTAGCTCGAGAACAAAACAATACTTTATGTTAATCGAGTCACGTCTGTATACATTGTCATCACGTCTTGTTACCGTTGCATCTGCGGAATAAGTAATACCTACCTGAGGATAATAGAAAAGAGACAATTTGGTAGAAAACAGTTAAGAGGATATTTCGTGTTACGCCCCATAATAAATTGAATTAAATTATTTCGTTATGCTATTCTAAATTCTAACTCGAATAAACTATTACAAAAAAGATTAAAGATACTAAAAAAGCAATGCACACGTCATTAAAAAAAATCTATGGCTAATGTGTAAAATAAATTAAAACTTGCTGCAACAGTGGGCTAACTCACATTTTATAAAAACGTTGTAAATTTAAATTTAAAATGGAAAAAAAATCAATATTACTGAGAAAATGCAAAAATTTGATTTATCTGTTACGATCATTGATTTTGTCACGGGAATGGCATGCAATACCCACGAGTAGCGTAGGAGCGCAAGCTAAATGAACCACGTTGGAAAATTGTAGCTACGTGAAAACGCTCGCGAAAGTTACGTTATTGCATGGTCCGCGATTGCGTGTAATCGTCGTGTAATCAATGCTGGTGTAACGGCCCAGCAGCGCAGGCAATTCGATCGATGCGCGAAATAAGATGGTGGTAGTGCACCGTTCGAGGACGATTGCGATTGGAGAAATAACGCAAGTACGGTGCATCGTAACGGTGTCGCGAAGCGGCGCACGATAACGAATATGCACGCAACGCTACGAAAGAAGCACCGAGAGTCCCACCCTACATACCATGACTGCCGGGGCATTTTGCGGTTTAGCTAATGACACATAGAATTCGCAATCGCATTGTACTCCGCAGCGCCCGTCGTTTCACCAACGATCGTAGCTGCGATCTAACATTTGCGCGAGCTGAGCTTTCCGCGCGCCTCGTGGCGCGTAGATAGATCGATCAATTCTGATGGACTGTTCTTTGATGAGAACGTAGCGCAATATCGGTTATCATCACGCGCGTGACATTTAACTCGGCTCGGCAAATCATTTCCGACGACTAATCAAAACAATCAGCATCCGCGATTAGTTCGTCCGACATCTATTTCGCCGCAGTCGTGTCGTCATCATTCGTTCAATTACGTTAGTCACGCGTTCTAACATTTTTGCTTTCAACACAGTTTTTACTTCTAGCGGTTATCCTTGATACGAAATAAGGGACTGGAGCAAAATACACAGGAAAATTCTAATCGTAACATCGAATTTGTCGGGCAGATTGCGATCGGCATCCGTGGTAGCGAGCGTCTCTATGGGGCCGGTAACGAGTCAACGCTCCTATCTGCCGATCCTGTTCTGCCACTTTTGTAATTAACAAGTCCTTAACAACATATCACGGGTAAAACACTCTTTGCATCGCTTATGTTCTTCGTTGAAAGCGCCTGGTCAAGGCGGGCTCGTGGCCGTCAACCAGTCCCCTCGAGTATAATTTAATGTACTGAGAAAAATCGGAGATACCTCTACAAGCCCTCGCGCGGACGATGGCGAGAGAGGCGCGCAAGAGGAAGAAATTATATACGAACGGAAGGGCAAGAGATCGTAAGATCTCAATGGTCTAGATACTCCAGGCCGCACTTCTGGGCGCGGATAGAGTGGCGAAAGGAACGGAATCAGGCGTGTCTATCTAGCTAGGATAAGTAATGAACCGGACAAAAACTATTTTTGAATGCACGCAGTCTGATAATGCGTGATTATGCAAGAAGTTTATAAACCTGTTCCCCATTTTATTCGTTTATCCAACTTAACAAGACGAGGCGCGCGCGCGCGCGTGACCTCGGGTAAGTAACGACAGAGAAATCGGCGGTGCCGATGGAATCTGAAATTAAAGAGCGGTCATTAAAATTGATACAGTCGACGTCTTTATACCGCGGATCGAATCGAAGCAACTCTCGGAGATTCGCAGTGGCAGCGACTACGCGAGCAATAATACCTAAAGCGGGACCAAGAAGCGACTCGATAGGATACCGAGTACCGTCGGGTAACGGCTTTCCGATAAAACGACCGGCAAGTGACGAGTTTTAATGCGCATAAAACCGTGAAAGTCTTTACTGCAGAAAATAATGAATTAGGAGTTATAAAGCGAGGAGATTATTCCTCGTTCGTCTCTCTTTCATCCACGGTAGTCGATAATATCCCACCCGCTTCTAACATTTCTCAGCTCGCTAAACTCGTTCGCGCAGTAGTTAAAGCAGCTTCCTTGAGAATGCAGCCAGCATGCTCGGCGACCTCTTCCAACCGTCATCTCCTCCCGCCGTCCGCTAATCTGGTCGCCAATGCTTTATGCGGTATAACGGAATTTCTGTTTGCATTATCTGCCAGAACGGCACATGCCACTTGCACGCCTTCGTCGCCGTCCATCGTTCATCTTGGCGTGCCATTGCACGGATCAAGAAGGGATTCGAGGAGGTATTCGTGTTTCGAATCGACACCGACGATCAATTCAAATCGCCGTCGTGTCGGATCATTGAGCAGCCGCGTTTTATCACAAGTCGTTGAGTTGCCCAAGCCGCAAATCGCTCCCACTCGCGAGAGGAAGAGAGAAAGAGCGCGGCACGGTACTCGCGAGAAGACGCTCGAGTCGTTATTCCGGTTGAGATTTGCGAAATTCAAGCGGTACTCACGACGGGCATTAAATCATACACAAGTCAGGATTTGTGTCATCTCAGTGATTATACAGCCGTTGGAAACTGGGCGATGCGAAGTGCACAACGACTATAATCGTTCGCGACATAATCGCGGCGTAATCGTGATTAATTAAGATAACTCGAGAGAGAACTCCGTCCGCTCTCCGTATTTCTCGCGCACTTTTTCCCCTTCGAATTTGCCTCGCCGATAATTGCGATCTTTAAAGCGCATTTTTTTTTAAGTGCAACAGCTAATCGCTGGTTGCACAGCGTTACTTGCACATCTCGCGATCGCGCAACGCGCGAAGAGGATCGACGGAAGTCGAGCGTGAAAAAAGGAGCTGTATCCTCAATTATCGACCTCGCTCTCTTGTCGACTGTGAACTTTATATTCGCGCGTACGCGTACACCGCCGCGTAGTACAGTTATCGCGATTGAGAATTTAGTGTCCCGCTTGCATTGTCTCGCGAAGCGAATGCATATTTCACACGTGCGCTATCCATACAGCCGCCGCCGCCGCCGTCGTGTCACCGTTGCGGCTTGCTGATTATGCGAACTGTGGTATAGTCGGTTACCTTCTCGCATACACATCGTCGCAGAGTATACAAGTTGCGCGAGAGAGCGAGGGCACCGTGTAACATCATAATAACTCGTAGAAATCATCCGTACTCTTTGTACGCGGACTTTCAAATGCAGGCAAAAGCGGAATAATGGCACCGAAGCGCGCGACGCTGCTGTGGCATTCCAGGTAATGATCGACAATTAATTTCGACCCTTATTTTATTACAAAGAATATCGCATCCTCCGTGACCGTAAGCTGTTCTGAAAACGCGACACGCACATCTCGCGTGTCAATTAATGACTATTCTTGATATAAAAAGAAAGGTAAATGTACGTTTATGTACATATATTATGTACATAATGTACGATATATTAATATAAATTATAAATTATTATCAAACATAAGTAAAATGCTTATGTAAGCCTCTGCGGTTGTTGGAGCGTAAATAATA